AATGAAGATGCCTTGGTTCCAGGACCTCAGGCTGTAGGTAGCCTTCTGCCAAGGGATCCTTGAGCTCTCTGACTGGGTAGGACTCTTCCCCACCAGCCTGCCCCATGGGGACGTGTGCCTAGGGAGGGAAGTGGGATATCCTCAGAGAATGAGGTGCGAAAGGACTTTCAGGAGGAGGAGGTCAGGACCCTAGGTCGCCCTGCCTCCTAAAGCCCCTTTCCACCCTGGGGGTCTGGACCCCTGGGACGGGAGTGGGGTGGGAGTGAGGGGTGGGAGTGAGGGTGTAGAGTCTCCAGGAGAAGGGTGGCAAGAGGCAGGGAGCCTCAGGAAGAGATGGAGACACAGCGGTTGGGGTGGTGGAGGTAGACCTGAGCCTCAAGAGACAGACGGACATGCAAGCAGCGAGAGGGGCTGGGGAGACGCACAGTCTGACCTGTCCGCTAGGCGGGCCAGGCCAGCGGACTCAAAGATCGCTACTAGGCGGGGCCGAAGAGGGGGCGGGTCCCTGTGCCTTCCCCGCCCTCCGCTCCCCGGGGCATCACGTGGGGGCGGGCGGAAGCGCCCGGCGGGGTGGGCGCGCCCCGCTTGCGGTCGCGAGTTTACGGCGGCTTGAGTCCGTGGCGGCGCCGGGACCCCGGTCCCCGGGTCCGCACGTGGAATCTTCGCCCAGAACAGGTAAGTGCGGCTGCTGGGGCCTCTTCCGTCCGCCGCCGTTTCGGCAGGTGTTGTCCGGAGTTTCCCCATTTCGCAGAAGGGAAAGCCGAGGCCGCACTCCGACCGTGCCCTCGGCGTCCACTTCCGCGGGTGTTTCTTCTGTCAGTTGTCGTCTCTGTCTAGTGATAGGGATGAGGGTCGCCTCCTGAGGATGCGTGGTCGGGCCAGAGGTGGCAGGGGAGGAGCGCGAACCGGCGGGAGAGGGGACTTCCAGCTCTTAGTCCTTTGGTATGAAGGCTCCCAGGAGCCGGAGCCAGCCAGCCCTCTGGCGCCTTGCTTTTCTCATCTGTGTGAAATGAAGGGTCCAGTGGCTCTCGTCTCGTTGAGCGCGGAGACCCTTACAGCTCTGAGCATTCGTATGATCCTGTGCCCTGTACCTGGGGTTCCAGTGACCTTGGGCAGACTACTTCCGGTCTCTGCGCCTCAATTCCCCACCAGTAAATGGAGGCGTGACGTCCCAAGAGCCCCTACCTGGCCCAATTGCTGGAAAAAGAGGAGGTGTGTGTTCACTGAATGGGGTCAAGCCGGGAGAGGGTTATTGGCACTGGAGAGAGCTGGCTTGGAGTGCAGCCTGGGGGGCATAGGGTGGGTGTTTGGTCCCAGATCTCCAAGGGTGGTTTTTTGGTGTTTGGGGAACTCTGGTCAGGAGCCATTACAGTGCGGCTTTTGGCATATGCATTTCCCTCCTCCAAAGTTCCAGTCCTGGAGGAGGCTTCCCTGATCTCCAGGCTTGGTTGGGGGTGGGGAGGTGCTACAAGGTGGTACAGATTTGTGGAGGTGCTCAAAAAGGACTTGACTGTGTGCTGAGTGAGCACCAAAGTCCAGACAGAGGCATCCAGGATGTCTGTCCTTGGAGAGCAGAGAGTGTCCAGGTTAGGGGAGACCTCCCAGCAAGCTCATTACAGAGTCACAGAGACAAGTGCAGACAGGTACTGAGGTAGAATCAGGGACTGGGACTCTTGGAGGCCCAGGGAAGAAGAGATGACTGGAATGGGCCTTGGCAGTTAACTGGCAATTAACAAGGATAAGGACCTTCCAGAGGACAGCACAGCTTGTGCAAAAGCAGGGACGTTCATGGTATATATGAGAAATGGCAAGGAGATGGGTGTGACTGGAAGGGGTAGCTGGAGCTGGGTGTAGAGAGAACTCATCCCTGTGTTCCATGGCTGGTTAGGGATTGTCCAGACCCTGCCTCCCTATTCGCCACTTGCTCACAAGAGTAGGGCAAAAGGTGAGGTGGAAGTGGGCAGAGGCCACCAGGGACCCAGATTGCCCCCACGCTTCATTGGGGGCATTCAGGCCCTCGCATTCAGCCCCAGCCGCACCCCCACCGCCTCTCAGGCTCCAGCCATACTTTTGTGCACCTGAAACCTCAGCCCTTTGTGCAGGTTGCTTGTCTTCCCCACCCTCTTTCCCTAGAAATTTTCTCCCCATCCAAATCTCCTAGGTCCTTCGGGACTTCACAGGTGGGCTGCTTATTTCCTCTTCCTGCCTAGCCTTTCAGTCCTGCTTAGGGGCACAGCTTAGGAAAGATCTCCTTGGAGCTCTGTGGGGAAGGGGCCTGCAGAGCAATGGGGATGACTGGGATGTGGGGTAGTCCCTATACAGCCACCAAACACTACATGACCCTGCAAGTCCCCAAACTTCTCAGAGCCTCCATTTCTCCATCTGCAGGATGGGGTGATAAGTCTTCGTCTCATGCTCCAGAGAGAGACTGCTGGGGTAAGAATTGGGCCTGAGTCTAAATCCTGTCTGTGGCAGTGAGTGTTTGAACGAAGAAAAGAGAGAACCTAGAGGGAAGGGGTCAGTTCAGAGGGGTAAGGGGCCTCTGAGAGTCCTAGGGGCTAGTGGTAAACTAGCCTAGTGTCAGAGTAGGGCATCAGCTGAAGACCGGGGAGTCCCTTCTGTTCTCTGGGGCCCTCCCCTCCCCACCCCTCTCTTCCTTTAGCCAAGCTCAAAGCCAGCCGGCTGATGCCCAAACAAGTAGCCTCTGTTCCCAGGGTGGGGGGAGGGGAGACAGGCCCTGGGCTCCAGGCCCGCCTGTCCAGCACTGACCCTGCCGCTCACCCCCCATCCCCCGCCCTTCACTCTGGATCTTAACCCTTGGGCGTCTGGGATGGGCCCTGGGTTGCTTGAGGGCTCATATCCCTTGCCCACCAGCTGTCCCTCCACCCAAATTTTGGCTCTCAAGGGTTCTGTTGAAGCAAGAGGGGATGCTGTAGGACATGAGCTGGAAATGAAAAAGGAAGGAGGGAGCGGAGGTGGGAGCAGATAATATAGTCACGGACACTCAGAGACCACTTGGCCCAGAAGCTTTTTTCACAGATGGAGAGACTGAAGCCAAGGGTCAGAGATCAGACCAGGATCACACATTGAGCCTTGGTGGGGGTCAGGACTGATCCGACTCCTGGTCTGAGCCCTCATGGGGAAAGAAGAGGGAAAGGGAGGGAGCTCTCCTTGATGTGAGTACCTATCATGTGCCTGACGCTGCACATTTGTGCTTTTTATTTAACCTCACATCGTTCCATGAGACAGGGATCACCTTCATGTAGCATAGGGGAAGAGACTGAGAAAGAGCTGAGTAATCACATCTGCGAGAAAGATGTCAGTAAATAGGCACATAGCACTGGTATAGGCACTTTCATGTATATTAACCACTTTCGTCCTCCCGAAACCCCAGAAGTTAAGTACCATTCTGCAGATAAAAAGACTGAGGCATAGAGAGGTTAAGTAATTTGCCTAAATCATAGCAAATAAGTGGTAGAGGCAGGATCAGGACCCAGGAGTTTGTTTGCCTCCTTCGGCCTGATTTCCTCTCCCCTAGCCTGACCTTACTCCTTGAGCTCAGTCCAGGGTCCCACTCAGTGAGGGGCTTTCCCCTGGATGGTGGCCAAGGCAGCCTTGAGCAGAGTGTGACCCCAGCCAAGCAGACGCAGCCCTCGCTTAGGAGTAGAGTCCAGTCCCTTGGGTGGCCCCTCTCACCCCCTGCTCCAGTCTCAGTCTGCCTGGACTCATCCCCTTTCACAGCCCCGCACAGAGGGGTGTTTCATATTTCAGGAAGGGGTTCTGTGCTAAGCACGAGGATATGAGGGCCCTCAGAGATCCCCTACGAGTACAATGCCCACAAAGCTCAGGGCCTTCTGCTGACTCGACACCAGAACGCCCAGCCCTGATCAGAGAGGCTATCTTGGCCACTTACCCTTGCTGCCATCAGGCCCCCAGACCTGTACGTTCCAATGAGGGCTCCGGGGAGGACGGCCCAAAGAGGCAGATGACCCCGGGTGTCAGGGACGGCTGGGGGTGGGGGAGGGGGGCAGTGCATGGTTGGTCTTCCACATGACCTTCCTGTGGAATTTTTCCCTGTCTCAGCCTTTGGAACATAGAAGGTCTGTCCTGTAATGAGAACATCTGTCCCAGCCATCGGGAAAATCAGAGTGGGTGGGACGGGATGTGGAATTAAGTGACCAGTTCGATAACAGAATTATTGTTTAATGGTAGTGATAATAGTGGCAGTAGCTGCTGTTTCTTGGAGGCTTAGTACGTGCCGAGTAGTGTGGAAGCATTTTTTTGGTATCGATTTAATCCTCAACAGTTCTCTTGGAGTATGTGCCAATTCCCATTTTACAGATGAGGAAACAGGCCCAGAAAGGTAAAGTGATTTGCCCGAGACCATCCATTACATAGAAGAGCTGGGAGCCTGAATTCCTCCCTCTCCACAATGAGAACTGTGAGCACCGGGAGACACTGCAGACAGAGGAGATCCCAACCCCGTTCTACCCTGGGAGCTCCTAGTCTGGGTCGCAGGCAGTAGAGGGCCACCTGGTCACGTGACGTTGCTGGCACCCAGCTGTGAGGATGGCATGCCTGCAAGGGCATCCTGCTTGTAGATGGGACTGACCGCTAGCAAGCCCTGAGCCCCCCCACGGGATGATGAGCATCTCTTGGAGACCTGCTCACTGCTCTCATCCTGTCCCAGCAGCCCTGGGCTTTGTTGAATACAGTGGTTCCCCCAGCCCTCATTTTGCTGATGAAGAAACTGAGGTCAGTAGAAGTTAAGTGACTTGCCCGTGTGGTCTCTCAGCTGAGGAAAGGGAGAGCTAGAGCCGGCACCCAGGCAGAGGCTCTGAGGCCTGCAGTCCACCTCCCTACCTGGGGCCTGGTCAGGGTCTCCTGGGCCTCTGAAGCCCTGAGCTTCCCTCGGACACTGCCCACCTGCCTTGTCACAGGGTCCAGATCTTTCTCCCTGACTGAACCGAGAACCTGAGTCCTCTTAAGGTGCCTGGGAAATGGAACGACTGGATGTCAGTGACTGGATGAACAAACCTGGGAAACATGGTTCCAGAGCTGAGAGCCAAGAAGCAGGCACCAGCTGTGGTCAACAGTGTGGTGCTCAGTACCAGCGGGGTCCAGAGGACGATTCAGGGGTCAAGAGGCCACCCTACTCAGATGACAGGAGGGAGAAATGTGGCAAAATCTTCTTCTTCCTTATTATCTTCATTGTGAGGGCAAAAAACGTGTGTGGAAGGGGGAGGAAGAGGAGGGTTGGGCCCTCTCACTGCTACTCCTCTGTCCCCATTCCCAGGGCAAGGAACTCGAGGTCACAACCTGGGATCTCAGCTGCTCGGGGCTCCTGGGGGAGTCTGGCCTGGCCGGGCCAGTCCTGGGGCAGGTCAGCCCCCAGGAAGGGGGAGCTGTCACTGCATCTTGCTACTCCGTATGCCTGGGTCTCCTTTGCTTCCTTCCTTACTGCCCGAGAGGGCACTGCCCTGCTCCTGGACATCCTCTTCACCCTTTACCTCCTTTCCACAAAATGCCAGGGCCAGGGCTCTGGAGTCCTGTCCCTGACCTCTGGTTCAGTGAGAGGCTTTGGACTGATCACTTCAATGAACTCAGCGTCCCTCGATCTTCAGAGAGGGAGCAAGAAGCAGCAGCTTCCACAGCAGTCTTTAGGTGTGGACAGATCAGGACAGGAACCAATCAAACAGAGCAGGTGAGATGGGGTAGAGAGCCTTCTTCGTTCCGCTTCACTCCCACCCACCCTCTCCTCACATTGAGCAGCTGGGATTTTAGGATTCTGAGTCTGAGATTCTAGGCTTTGGGGATTCAAGGATTCTAGAGCTTTGTGTGCTGGCGATTCCCAGCCTCTGAATTTCCAAAAATCTGGGTTCCAAGAGCCTGCAAAGCCTCGAATTGGGCTGGGTAGACTCTAAGTTGAGGCTGAGTCCTGTGCCACACCTTGCCGGCTGGTACCAGACAGACAAGGCCCGGAGTTTCTCAGCATTGCTTCTGAGGGCCTGTGGCACAGCTGGCCCCCAGGTTCTGTGTGCTGTCTATACCTACCACCCCCAGCATGTGCACCCAGCTGTCGCCTTTCAAGAAATCTGAGAACCGGACCCTGGAAGGGACTAGGTGGTAGCGGAAGAGATAGCCATCTTGGTGGAGAATGGGGAGGGAATGGACAGGGGCCACGACTCCTCTTCATTTGCTGGCAGTGGGGCTGTCGTGCTGGATACCAGGATGGGGTTAAGGGGAGGCCCAGGGAGGGCTGATGGCTGGTTGGGTCACAGAGCAAGGTCTGGGTCACACTGCTGGGGGAGCCAGGTCCTCCCGGGGCCAACGTGGAATGTGGCTCAGCAGGCCCAGGTCCAGTCTTGGAGGGCAGAGCCAGGCTCAAGGGCCCTGACAGAGTGGTGGACAGAGACCTGAGCCTGGGAGCCAGAAGGGAGGCACCCTGCCCCTCCTTGGGGCAGGGACGCCGGGCCTTGGCTCAGGGCCTTTGAATATTTCACAATGCTGCCACCCCCACCCACTCCTTCCGGTGCCCATCTGAGCCTATGGGCACATCAGCTGCCCTCAAAGGGCCTTGGGCATGAGAGTGGGAGCTGCCTCGTGGGGAGGAGACCTGTTTCCTCCCCATGAGGGAAGTGCCTTCCTCCTGGAAGACTTCCTGACTGGGTAAGCTCCTTCCTCAGTTGTGCTTCCCATCTCCTTTCTGCTCCACGTCCTTCTGGGCAGGCACCGTGCGTGTGTCCGTGTGTGAACGTGTGTGCTCCTGGGCCCAGACGCGTCCTTGGAGGACCTGCGATTTTGCCTGCGTGCAGGTGTTAGCATTCCATGTCCCGGTGTATTGGAGTAGGAAGTGCCTGGCTTTGCACTCCTTGATATGCGAACTGGGTGAGGCTTTTTTTTTTCTTTAAGTTTACTTATTTATTTTGAGAGAGAGAGCCATCAGAGGAGGGACAGAGAGAGAGGGAGAGAGGGAATCCCAAGCAGGCTCTGTGCTATGAGTGCAAAGCTCAACACGGAGCTCTGTCCCATGAACCATGAGATCACGACCTGAGCCGAAATGAACAGCCAGACGCTCAACCAACTGAGCCACCCAGGTGCCTCCTGGGTAAGGCTTTTATCTGTTTGAGTGGGGACCTTCATCCAGGCAGGCCGCTGTGAGTCTGCAGCTGAAATACCATAGTTTGTTCCCCAAAGCCACCCCAGCAGCCTGGTGGGGAGAAAGGGGCCTCCCGGAGGGCAGGGGTGGGGACTGGGCTTTGCCAGATGACAACAGGACGGCTTTGGGGTGGGGTCCGTCTTGCTTGCTGAAGGGGTGCCAGAGCCTCAGCTGAAGGCCTGCCTCTCCCCTCAGACTGGGGCTCTTCCTCCTCCTCCTGTCTCCTCAGCTCTAAAGATGGATGTGCTAAGTCTAGGGAGACCAAAGACTCAGGGAGCATCTAGTTGTTCTAGTGGTTCTGTTCCAGTTTCTGTTTCAGGACGTGAACCAGGACACTCATCTGCCTCTACTGCCAGTGGCCTGAAAACCCACATCTTTCAGTGCTGGGCTGGCCTAGCCGATGTGGAGTAGGGGGGTTGCTCCAGTAACTTCGAGGTTACCTGAGGGGACTGTCCCTCCCAGTTCTTCCAAGAAACAGGCTAGTGGAAGGACGGAGGGGTTCAGTCTGGGGGGCCGAGGTCCTGGTCCTGACTGGTTAGTTTAGTTTCTTGCACCTCTCTAGGGCTCACTTTCCTCTTCTGGAAGAGGGGAGGGTTGGATAAAGTGGTTCCTAAGTGCCTAAGGGGCAGGTGGCTGGGGGGTGTGGAAAGCTGGGGGAAGGCAGGGCTGGGTGTGTAGTAGACAGGAGGTTAGAGCTATAACTGGGTGAGCACAAGGGGAATGAGAAGTGCCTGATTTAGGAGGCCAGAAGCCAGGTTCTAGCCACACTCTGGCCACTGATAGCAGTGTGACCTCAGGCAAGTCATCACTTGCCTGGGCTACTTGCTTTCTGTGTATAAAATTGGGAGATGCTCATTCAGTCAACAGAAATTCACTGTGTGCCAACCTCAGGCTGGTAGTAGGGGATGCAGGGTAATCAGATCCTGGTCCTGCTTTCGAGGAACACCCAGCCAGGTCTGGCGTGAGAGTGTGTGTGTGTATATGTGACACAATCACAGATAGTGACATCCCAATGTGATCAGGACTGTGGCCATGGGAGTCAGAGACTGCTCCCCAGAGCACGTGACACTTGGACTTGAAAGGCAAAGTAGAGAATGATGTTCCAAGCAGAGGGAACAGTATAAGCAAAGACCTGAAGGTAAAGTGTCAGGCAGCAGGAGTGGAGGGAATGAGATGGGTGAGGAGTAAGAGGCAGGAGCCGGAGGGTGGAGGCCCTTTGAACCCCTCTGGGTGTTAGCATGAAAGGGGTAGGCATGGCAGAGAGGGTGGGGGCTGGTCTCTGAGACTCCTGGAAGTCTAGGGAGGTTCTCACCTGCTCTGGAGAATGGTTGAGGGGTGGGCAGCACGAGGGGGTCTGAGAGTCAGCACTTCCTCTCTGTGGGTGAGGGCTCCCCGAGCAGTGTTTATCAGGCCAGCACAGCAGGAAGTAGCTAGGGCAGCCTCCGGTGGAGAGAAAGGGCAAGCCTAGCCACAGAGGGGGCCAAGGAACCTCAGAGTTGAATCTTTGACTCCTAGAACTCCGGTCTGAACCTTGACACCTGCCTCGTCCAACCATCCCTCTCCCTACCCGTGTCACAGGCCCCTGTCCCAAGCTCACCTGACTGAGGTGAGCCAGGCCTATGTGGACATCCATTCATCCATTCTTCCAGTGGCCGAACGCGTCTAGCCGCTGGGGATAGGGCTGTGAATGAGACAGTGCCCTTGCCCTCCAGTTGAGGATACTGACAATGAACAAATAAATATGTAATACAGTAGTGTAATCCAACAGTGATAAGTGGCATCCAAATATGTAATCCAATAGTGAGAAGCGAGATGCTGAAAATCACACAGGATCAGGGACTCATAGGGGCACATTTTTAGGTAGAGTGTTCAGGGAATGATGGTCTTGCATTTGAGAAAATGCTGGAAAAAGTATGGGAGTGAGTCATCAGATGTCTGGAAAAGCATTCCAGGCAGAAGGAGCGCCAGTGCCCAAATCTGAGGTAAGAGCACACAGAGTGGGTTGGAATAGCAGGAAGGAGACAGAGGCAGTAGGGACAGACCATGGACCCTGGTAGGCCATGTGCTGGCTTTGGCTTTTAGTCTGAGGGAGGTGGGAAGTCACTGGGGAGTGAGAACTGGTCAGATTTGGGCTGTATTTCGAAGGCATACGTTTATTCCTCCGAAGCCTGCAAGGTGGAGCTGTCATAATCCCCATTATACAGATGGTAAAACAGAGACTTAGAAGTTATGTGAATTTCCCAGTCTCCCAGTGGTAGGCACCCCAGTGCGCCTGACTATCTGCCTGCCCCATGATGCATCCCCGAAGCACCCTGCTTACTCACCCAGGAGGGTGCTTCCTGTTGTCTGGACAGCAAGGACAAGTGTCTTAGCATAGCCTTCAAGGCCCTTCTTAGCTTGCTCCTTCTCTCTTGCCCACCTGACCTCCCTGAATCTGCCCTGCTTTCTGCCTGTCTCTGCACTGTGCCCTATGAGGAGATGAGTAGAAAGAGGGGCCCAGGCAGCCCTTTGTTCAGATTCTGGCTCCTGTGTTATTTTAGGCAGGTTACTTAACTTTTCTGAGGCTTTGTTTTTTTCTCATCTGTAAAGTAGGCTAAAAAACCATCCACTTTCTAGACTGTCATGAGGAAACAATCCGTGTACTGTGTTTAACACAGTGCCTGATGGTAAGCACTCCATAATCACAACCTTCTGTTGTTTTAGACAGGGATGGCTGGGTCATATAAGTGGGTTAGAATGTTCTCTATGAGTTGGAGAGGAGAGGCTGAGTCAGGGAATCTTCCTATATGTTGTCTGACTATATAGTTGGGGAGGCTGAGATCACACATGAAATTGGAGGCCAGAGCCTTTGCGGCTGGTCCTTTCTAGCCCCTGCCCTGCCAGTCTGCTCACCTCCACCCCGTCAGCGCAGACCACTTCCCCTTTCAGGGGCCAGCAAGCAAGGGGCCTGCTTATCTTCTGGCTTCTCCATTCCAGGGGCCACCTGGGGGGATGGCAGGTTCGGGTCCCTGTTCTCCAGGGCTGCTAGTTCCAGGGTGCAAGGGAGCCCACCAAGTCTCTCCTCCTGGGTGAGTGAGCACATCAGGTTCTGGGGCAACTCAGGATAGAGTCAAGCAGCCTTCTGTCCCTCTCCCCAGGGCCAGGGCTAGCCCTCAACCCTTCTGAGGGTCCCGGTACCTGACTCTTGTTCTGTCCGCTCCTGCTGCCTGGGAGTCTGTCAGTAG